ACCTTTGCAGCAGGAGAAAATGAGGTCAACGGACCCAGAAAAGCACTAAAAATCTGCATGATTCCTGAGACGGAGCACTGCTGAACTACCTTCTTAGTCTCACACCTGGAAAAAATTTATTTTTACTTAAGTTAGCTTGGGCTGAGTCTCTGTCATTTATAATCAAAAGAATCCTGCATAATAGAGTATGCATGCTTTTTTGGCATATATTTTAAAAAATAGCAATGCTGATTCACACACTATTGTCTCTATTTAAAAAAGGTAGAAGGCATGAGGTCTCCGCTTGAGAAGTGTACACTCTGCTCGGTGATAGGGAAAAGACTTATAAATGCCAGAACTTCATCTCCTCATCTACATACTGGGCTCCTTGAGAGTGAGGCCTGTGTTTTCTAATTCTCCATCTCCAACCCACATGCACACCTGACCCCGTGACTGGCATCCATTTAATAAGAACTGCTGGATGGCTAAGCTGTTATGGTTGTGAGGCCTTCTAAGGACTAGTCCAGTGCACTCTATTTTCTCATTTCCTTTCCTTATAATACCACTGACCTTTGGGAAACATTATACTATTTCGCTAAAACAGATTCTGCAAACTCAGAATTGTTCATAGTAATAAAATATGCCACAGTCTGCAGAAAGGAGGGACTCTTTCATCAAAGCTACCTGAAATTTTCTAACCTCACTTAAGATCATAAAACATGTTAACATGCCATATTTAGTTAAGCCCATAGCTCAAACTCACCAAACTGTAGTAAAAATATAAAATACTCAAACAGAACATAGTTGAATTTTTATTGTTTAAAACATTACTTTCTTTATTTAAAATGAACATTGGTTGCAGAATGTCAAACATAAAAAGAAAAACAAAACAACAAACAAACAAACAAAACAAAAATAGTTCTTAGTACTTTCCTTTAGTCTTGTATCCATCCCCCACCCTTCACCTCAGAACTTTTGTTCTCCTGATTTTCACATTCTTGCTTGAATGTATTTTGGTAACCACTCAAATACCACGAAGACAGCCACCTGACCCCCTACCTGGTCCTCGAACAACAACCAAGCTCTAGGTGGAGAGAGTTCAACCTTGCGACATGGACATTGGCAATCCTGAGTGAATGAGAATGGGCTTAATGTCGGGAGTCTATTCCTGGCTGCAGTAGCTTCTTCTGGTTCCAGATATAGGCTTTATGGGCAAATGAGGTTTAGGAGACAGAACTGCTCTCTAAATGGTCATCTTGGCTATAGTTCATCTATACACAGGGCCAGGATGGCTGGGTAAAGTCTTGGGCAAGATCCAGGAAGGAAGGGGTTGACAACAGGGTTTGGACTATTCTAGGCAAAATTTACATGGCGGTTTAAGTTGGAAACCACACATTTGGGCTTTTTCTCTCAGAGGCTGCTCTCCTAAAAAGCATATCTGTTTTGTCTGGTATCTTCACTTGTACCTGCTCTGCTCTGTGGCACTCCTATCTCATTCTTAACACCTCGACAGAGATTCAGAAATGTCCTAAATTTCTGAAAAGAACAATTTGAATCATTCCGTTGCTGAGATAAGTATGTTAACTATTTCTGCAGAGATTATAAAATAATAGTATGTAATATCCCTGTTAAGAGGAATATTACAAATAATTTAACTCAGTCTTTTTACTGTATTTATTGGTTATGAAACTCAGGCACTTTGAAAAGTTAAGTGACTTTCATGGTTGATTTATGGTCTCCATAATGATGGCCCTAGTTTCTAAATCTCTGGTATAATGTACCCCAGGTGGTAAGAGATAATCCGTGGGCAGAAAAATAATAGAAGTTCTCTTTATGTTTATTTGTGTCATTCTATTATAAGAATGACTATTTATGAATGTCTAATAAGAATGACTATGACTTTTAAGATTATAAAGGAATGAATTTTATGAATGCATTTTATAATATATATGATATATTTAAAATCAACCCCCCAGCATTTCTTATCCCACTTTCTTGTCTCCCCCCCGCCTTGATTATCCTGTTACACACTATATCTTCTACTTATTACTTGTTTACAGTCTGTCTCCCTCTCCCTATAAGGTAAGCTCCATAAGGGCAAGAAGTTACTGGTCCTTCATGGGGAGCTACATGGACTATAAACCAAACCACCATGAAAGAAGCAGCTATTTCCTCTCCCTTTTTATTCTAGAAGTTTATTAGCATTGTCTTCCAAGATCACTGTTAAATCACTTACGATGCAATTCTATGGAAATCATGTCGCTTCTCTATGCCTTATTTTCATAATCAAGTTGGACTTGGGTGGGACTAGATAATATATTTTTAAAAAATATGTTTTTATTGATTTTTTTTTTTAAAGAGAGAGGAAGGATTAGGGATAGAGAGATAGAAACATTGATGAGAGAGAAACCTCATCAATCGGCTGCCTCCTTCACATCCCCTACTGGGGATTGAGCCTGCAACCCCAGACATGTGCCTTGACCAGGAATTGAATCATGACCTCTTGGTTCCTGGGCTGATGCTCAACCATTGAGCACACCGGCTGGGTTGGATCAGTGATGGTGAACCTTTTGAGCTCGGCGTGTCAGCATTTTGAAAAACCCTAACTTAACTCTGGTGCCGTGTCACATATAGAAATTTTTTGATATTTGCAACCATAGTAAAACATATTTTTGATATTTATTTTATATATTTAAATGCCACTTAACAAAGAAAAATCAACCAAAAAAATGAGTTCGCATGTCACCTCTGACACGCGTGTCACAGATTCGCCATCACTGGACTAGATAATCTTTTTGGCCCCTTCCAGGTGTAACATTGTTTTCTGTTGTATCTCTAGTTCTTGAAGCAGAATATACTTAAATGAATAAATGATTATATTAGTACAGCAGTTCTTGTATACAATATGCAAGTAAATATGCACATGTCAGCTGTGAATGCTGAAGAATTTTTTACTGGTAAGGGTATATTTATGGTAGAGTTTGGAGCCTTAATTTTTCATGTTAAGTCTGTCAGGAAACTGGTTAAAACAAGGACCAAATGGGGCGCCATTCCGTAAGATACTTGAAGTGAGGGCTCTCCTGTGCAGTGAGGACTTTAACTCATCTGAAGGAGGATGTTTTATTCTGGAGATTTGCTTGAAAGGCCTATTTTAGCCGTGTGAAAGTAGAACAAGTAAGCAAGCATGATCTGGGGTTAGAGTAGAGCAGGAGCTATGGTGACTGAATCCAGGGCTTCCATTACCTTGGATAAGTAGTTAAGAATAAAAATGAGTTCCTTCTGGGACTGAAGAGGCAAGTTTTGGTATCTGAGATTCAGTTTTTAAGAAAAGCTGGAGAGATAGTTATAAGCTGCCCTAAACAACACCCAGTGGCAGGGAAAAGTAGTGAGTTCCTTCACTTAAAGTTCCCTGAAGAATAGTAGATAGACATTAGGCAAATGACCTGGATCCAAAGTCCAAGCAATGGGAGTGGAGCAGAGGTTGCTGGCTATGGGGCAGATGCCCTGCAGGGCCCAGCCACGCTGTCTTTGTGTGTTGATGATGTGCTTTGGAGAGTGATGACAGAGCAGTGCATATGACCTCAAATCTGCTGCCTAGACCTGGCATTCTCCACAGAGTCAGCAGGCACCCACAGGACTGAGCAGGGCTCAGCTTTGAAAGTAGCACTCTATGGCAGGGAGAAGCAATAGCCATGGTGAGCTAGCCACAGATAAACTCTGTGGCTGAATAAATTATTATTATTTTTTAAAAATATTGTTGAAAGTATTACATAGGTCCTCCTTTTCTTCCCATTAGCCTCTTCCAGCCCGCTCCCGTAACCCCCTCACACCCTCACTACCCATTGTCTGTGTCCACAGGTTATGCATATATGCATACAAGTTCATTGGTTGATCTCTTCCCACCCACACTCCCCTGCCTATCCTCTGAGGTTCAACAGTCTGTTCATGTTTCTGGGTCTATTTTTCATCACCAGTTTATTTGGTTCATTAGATTCCACTTATGAGTGAGATCATGGGGTACTTATCTTTCTCTGACTGGCTTATTTCACTCAGCATAATACTCTCCAGGTCCATCCATGCTGTTGTAAAGGATAAGAGTTCTTTCTTTTTATTGCTGCGTAGTATTCCATTGTTTAAATGTACCAACTGAATAAGTTCTTACGATACTTGGACAACTTGAAGTTGGGAAGGAACAATGAGGTGTGGAGGGGTTGCTCAAGGAACTGACTATAGAAAAGGAAGGAGATGTGAGTGTGCTTAGGGATCTTCTATATCTCCATTGTCTTTGTTCTCGCCTTTGAACACTCAGAACCCCATTAAAGGCGGTTTTCCATTGCCACTGCCTCAGAAACCACTGGATACTTTGAGAAAGTAGGATATTAATATATATTTTCAGTTCTGACAGCACACTTATTTGCATTGTCTGGGTACTTGCATTTTCTGACTACTGTCTCTATCACTCTGGATAGGTCACAGAGGTCAAATGTGTGTTAACCATCCTACTCTGTATTAACCACTAAGGTAATTTTTATAGATAAAACAGAAACAAAACAGAATGTATAAAGGGTCATGTACATATCTTAAAAGAACCATACCAGGTGACATATATTGATGGTACAGTGCCTGAGAACATTCAATTTTTTTCTACTAAGCAATATGTAGTCTGAGATACTTTGCTGTTTACAGTGGCACATTCAATTGCCCTAAGGAAGAAATAAAAGATAAACACTACTCTTCCTTTTTCGTTACTTGCAGGTGTAAAGCAGAATAAACACGGTTATGCCACATTAGAATAACATGCGTGGAAGTCCGAGCTGTGGGGTGCAGATCATGGACTCACATGGCAAAGCCCATCAGCTGGGCCCTCTGACACCAAATACAGCTCAGAGAGAAAAGTTACTTAGCTTTTCAATCTCAGCCACAGGCCTAGTCTGAGTGAGGGCAAAAGGCACATTTCTCCCTCAATGCTGATGTGTTTATACTCACAAACTGGCAGCTCAACTACTACCGGTGGCACTTACATCTTGGTTAGACATCTCCCAATACGGTCTCTCTCCGTAGGACATGACCTCCCACATGACGATGCCATAGCTCCATGCATCACTGGCGGAGGAGAATTTTCTGTAGGCAATCGCTTCTGGGGCTGTCCACCTGATGGGGATTTTCCCACCCTGGAAAACACATTGGAGATTTCTCAGCTGGCTCGCAAGAATGTTAAAAACAAAACGGCATTCCAATTAAATACCTTTTGTTAGAAAGACCTAAAATAAATACTGGGTGATATAGTGTTGGCATTTAAGTAAAAATAAAAAGAAAATCAGAATAATGTTAATATCTCAGAAATAGTCTTCCTATAATAGTTATTCAGTGGAAACAGCTTTAATGGGAAATAAGTCACACTTCAGAAATATTTTATTTCACTCATTAGGAAAATTTATTTTCATTTTAGATTCACACAATTAAACTATCATGCCATTTGAAGATAGTTCCAGAATCTGGAATCCAGATTATAGGACATTAAAGCTAAATATCATTCAACACTCATTAAACATTATATTGCATGTATTAATAATAATGATAATAAGTTCTAACTTAATTAAAGACAAATGGTTAAATACAGAACTGAGACATTCTCTACCAATTCAATGTTTATCAGAATTTTATTTCCTTCCCTTTTCATTTTCATCTGCTGTGAAAATGTGATTAAAGTAAAAAAAAAATCCTTTAACATTATACAAAAGCACATGAGAAGGATGATCCTTCTTTATAACACTTTTAGGCTAGTTCATACTTTTGATCTTCAACGTTCAAGTTAACATCTGAAGATATTAAAGAGATTAAATTGCATGAATTTAATCTATACTATTTGAGTATTAAAGTTGGCTATTGTGTTATACTTATTTTTATCAACATTTATTGCATTTTATCTCTTGAAACACTCTATAAATCCCCTTTTTACTATAACGACAATTAAACAATTCATTTATTAGATTTACAATCTTTGAAATCTTTGCAGCTCTGAACAGAAAGTAGAGCGGACGAGAGCGACCCTGACGCCACTAGATGGCGGAAGAGAACAACGAGCGGCTCCCAGACGGCAGTCTCACCGCGGAGAGGGCTTCTGTTCCCAGCAAATGATCGGACAGTCAGAACCACCATAATGAGATGGTTTCATCATTATCAGCACTTCCATCTGACCGCCCACTGTGCGCAAAGTCTGGTGTTAGGCCGAGTGGGGGTGGAAGGAAATAAAGGGGCATTGTTTGGCCCTTGAGGAATTTAGACCTAACATCTTTCAGGTGAAGCCATTAATCGGGTCATCTAATCCCTACTTACTTAGTAACCTAAACACTACTTACTTGAAGAGAAAAGCGATTCAGCCGAAATAGGAACAATTAGGTTTCACCAGGCAAATGCGAGCATTAACGGGACCTTCATTTTAGAGAACTGTAGCAAGGACTTGTTAGTAGGAACCTTGGGGAAAATACCTTGAATTCAATCACCAGATTTTACAGGTGAGTAGACTGAGTCCAGGGTTCCCAGGTTTAGAGATTCCTCCCGGCAGTAGTAAGCAGAAGATCTCTAGGAATGCCCCTCCTAGTGGTATTATGGGGCATTGATATAAACATGTAAATATTTCAGCACCGCAGAAAAGTTGGGACAAACTAACTTTATTGTTTAACACTGAATATCCATAACCATGTATTATAGTAGTAAAATAGAAGGGAGTCTGAAACCTGGGGTTTGCACGCTCTGGCGCAGCACCAAATTAAGACCAGGAAATTAAATTTATAAAGTTGGTGATAGTAGTTTAAGAGGGTGGTGGTGGGGGGGGGAAGGGATTTGCAAGGGGAGGATTCGTTCTTGAACCCAAAATAGAGTTGTCAGATAAAATATAGGACCCACAGTTAATTTGAATTTCAGATAAATAACAAATGTTATTTTTAGTATAAGCATTACCTATGATAAAATATACTTTTTTGGTGTGTATGTCCTAAATATTGCATGAGACAGATTTGTACTGAAAATATTCATTGTTTATCTGAAATTCAAATTTAACTGGGCACCCTATATTTTTATTTACTAAACCTGGCAATCCTAACACAGAGCATGAAAAGAATTCAGAAGTGGGAACACTGTCAGGGATCCAGCAGAACATGAGCAGTGCTCTGAAAAGACCGTGTGGTCTGTCCTTCAGGAGGAGACAAGGACACAGACGCACTTGTGCCCCAGCACTACAGCAGCCTTTGTTTATTGCGTGCTTGTGGCTGACGCGCCTCCGTCTTGTGGCTCTGCCTTTTGAAGCCACTTAAGTCTGCCTCAGGCTTGTGGAAGCCACACTTGCGGAGAATAAAGGCCAAATCTGTAGATTTGACCTCAGAACAGATGCAAGAGATCAGTCTCATCTGGCATTTCTGACTCTGGGTCTTTCCTTGTCTCTTCTGGCAAACAGTATGTGAATTGTTAGTCTGCCGGGCTGATCCTTTGCTAAATCTCTGTGTGCTGCGTTAAGATAGGCTAAAAAACATAGCTAAGGGCTATTTCATGTGCGTTCATAAATGATATCTCATATAAATGATTTACATGTAAGTTTATATTTCATATTACTTGATATGATATATGAACGATAATTTTACCACTTTCCTTCCTAAGATTTTATTTTCTTCCTCAAGGGCAAGGTATTATAGAATGTTTAATGAATAGCATTGCTAGCCTCGGAATTCGTAGGTTGAAGCCTTAACTCCCAACGTGACTGTATTTACAGATAGGGCCTTTGAAGAGGTAATTAAAGTTAAATGAGGTCACAAGGGTGGGCCCTAATCCAGCATGATTGATGAAGATGAAGAGACCACAGAGGTGTGCAGGTACAGGGAAAAGGCCATGAGAGGACACAGCAAGAAGATGGCCAGTACATCTTTATTTCAAATTCTAGTCCAGTGTCGTCTTGTAATGGAAAGTGTGAGCTAGAATAAATCTTAAAACAAAGTCTGAAAAATTGGCACAGAAATTTTGATATAGGAGATACAATTCTAATTAACAAAAATTCATGGTCATATGAATCTGACAGTATGCATACAATGGAATAATTCTGAATATATATGGGATGGAGATAGGAAGTATTTAAATCTCTTTTTCTAATGGGAGGCTATATACTGGATATAGTTTATATCTAAGTGCAAGATGAATAAGAAAGGAAGAGGTCATTAAGATTACTGCATGATCTCTATCCCCTTCCTCCTCCTCCTCCTCCTCCTCCTCCTCCTAGTTCTCCTCCTCCTCCTTTTCTTTAAATTGAATATATGAACTTTGTGGCTTAATCTCATCTACCCATTTTTGCCCATGATCTTGAATCATAGACAGAGGTAAAACACTAAGGTACTTTTTTCTCAAAGCACTAATCACCAGATGTCTCAGGTTTCAGGAATGAACAAATAGTACTTTAGATTGAAATCACAATCATTCGAACGTTGCATCTTGCTTTACCATATGCCAGGGGTGGCAAACTTTTTGACTCGAGGGCCACAATGGGTTCTTAAACTGGACTGGAGGGCTGGAACAAAAGCATGGATGGAGTGTTTGTGTGAACTAATATAAATTCAAAGTAAACATCATTACATAAAAGGGTACGGTCTTTTTTATTTTAGTTTTATTCATTTCAAACGGGCCGGATCCGTAGTTTGCCCACGGCTGCCATATGCTTATGAGAAAAAAAAGGTTACCAAAGATGCTGATCAAAATGACTGAATGTAACTCAAAAGACTTCTTACTTACTAATATCTCCCTTATACTGCAAGGTTAATTACTTAGGATATGCAAGAGAAACAGGAAGCAAACTAGATTGCCACTGAAAAAGTTGTTAGCAAACCTTTTTTTTCTGTTTCTCAAATCATATTCTGGACTGTTGTCTAATAAATAGGTAATGAGGTTGTAGCAGGAAAAGTGCTGAAGAGGGAACCAGGAGCCTGTATGCTGTAAACCCTACACCCCAGGAGTGGAGTTGTATTATAGGCATATTTAATTAACATCTGAGTTTTAGAATCGAATCCTCTAATCTTTAACAGAGGACACAATCAATTGAAATATAGTGGTTCAATACTGAACCCAGATGAAAAATTCCATTGAGAAACAAGAACACAAAAATAAATCTCTTCATTTCTCATTCACTGGAGTTGATGGTTATCTTAAAGGCAACAGGTTTGAATAGACAACAATCTCCTTGCAGATTGTCCTTTTTAAATTTCCTCAGTTTATCTCCGTGGTACATAAGAATTACAGTACAGAAAACATACATACTATGGTAAAAGATTAATTTAAGGAATTTCTAATGACAATTTTGATTAAATATTTTTCTTTACGAGCTGCATATTCTAGGTAGAGCTACCACTAAGTAGTTGTATGCACAAGTTCATACAAATAAGTTGTGTAAACTTGGGCAAGTCTTAACTCTGGGTCTTATGTTTCAGACCAGCAAAGTGAGAGGATTTGAATAAAATGGTAAACTATCATCCTATGTAATAAAAGGCTAATATGCAAATAGACCAAACTGCGGAACAACCGAAACAATTGAACAACCCGTTTACTATGACATAGTAACCGGTGCGCTGACTACCCAGGGGAATGTGCGCGGGACATGGTGGGTGTTGGGTGGTGGCCGGAATGGTGGAGCATGTGAGTGA